CCAGGTGCCTGTCGGGGCCTGGGTTTCAGCTGTCCACACCACAGCAGTGGGCAACGAGCTTAAAGCCCCTGATGGCTCTGGGCTCTGACTCTCACCAGTGGCTATGGATGAAGTCACAGGCGATTTTCAGCCAGCGCCGGAATGAGTCAGTTCTGATTCAAAGGCATGTAACAACAACAACAAGGTTGCATAGTATATAATGTGTCAGGCTGCTAACTGAATGGCCAGTGGTTTGTGGATATTGTTAGCTGCTGTCAAGTTGCCTTCTAGCTCCTGGAGACCCCAGCACAACAGAACAAAATGCTTCTTGGTCCTGTGTCATCTCCATGATTGGTTGTGGATCAAATAATTGTGGTCCATAAGGTTTTTGTTGGCTGACTTTCAGAAGTAGAATGTCAGACCTTTCTTCCTAGCTCATCTCAGACTGTAAACTCCAGTGAAGCTGGTTCAGCATCAGAACAGAACCTCCATCGACAGATATACTACAACTTTTCCAAAATTTTCTGTCATCTCTGTCTCTCTGTCTTATCTATCATCTATCTATCTATCTAACATCTATTTATTATCTATCCATCTATCTTCTATCTATCACCTCTATCTATATCTATCTATCTATCTATCTATCTATCTATCTATCTATCTATCTATCTATCTATCATCTATCATCCATCTATGCTATTAGAGGCCATTGAGTTGACTACAACTCACAGCAACTTCATAAATAACAAATCAAAACGTTACTTTATCCTGCACCATTCTCATGATCTCCAACATACTCAAGCCCATTGTCACAGTCACTGTGTCGATCTGTCTTGTTGAGGGTTTCCATCCAAGGTCTAGCCCCTCCTGATGACGTGCTCAAGTATGTGAGATGAAATTTCACCAACCACGCCTCTAAGGAGCACTTCATTTGCACTCCCTCCAAGTCAGACGTGTTTGGTTTTTTCTGGCAGTCCATGGGATATTCCATAATCTTCTCCAACACCACAATTTAAAGGCATTGATTCTTTTGTCTTCCTTTTTACATGCCCAAATTACAGATGCACAAGAAGTGGTTAAAAATACCATGGCTTGGATCAGGTGTATCTTAATCTTTAGCATGATATCTTGTAGCACTTTGAAGAAATCCTTGACAACAGATTTTCTAATGCAATGGATCTTTTCATTTCTTTTTTTTTCTCTATAGTTATATTTTATTAATTTTCATAAACATTTACAGAGATTTTGGGCTTCCACTCATTCATTGTTGCACTATTCTCTCTACCCTCCTCCCAGTTTGTTC